GTCTTAAATTGTATTGTGACTGTAATGTTTTCCTTATATTGTAAAGCGCTGTGCAAACTATTGGCGCTATATAAATCCTGTATAATAATAATAATAATGTACAAGCAAGAACAATTACCGTTACAAAAACAAAAAGGTCCATTGTTATCTTAGAGCTCTCTGTTGATAAGGGGTAAATAAAGATCAATTATCTAAGAGCCCAAAGGTAAACAGTTGACACTTGCACGTTAATGGAAGCTACACGTACAGAAAACATTTTACATAAAAAAAAGAGATGGGGCAAACAAAAGCAATGTGACATCACAAAGCAGAACAACAAGGATGAGACCAGCAGAGGGAAGAAGAGAGGCAATGAAGAACAGAGAAAGATGAGAAATGAGGGAAAGAAAGAAAGGAGGTAAGAAGAAAGAAAAGATGAGGAAATATATCTTAGGGGACGGAGTACAAATGATCAAAGATACAATAATACAGAGTCAAATCATGAGAGCTGGGAGTAAGCAATCCAGGGTTGTCAAGTGAGGAGACAAGGAGGACCGTGTCCTTCAAAACAGCCATCAACTTCCCATTAATCATGATCCCGGTCAGGCGGCATTTGACCGCCCCAAAGCTTGGAGTCGGTGGTTTCTGGTGATAGCCTGTCTGGTGGCAGTAAAGACATGGTGTATGAGTTTCCTTTCCATGGTAGGTAATGTCAAGATTGGTTTATTAAGTAATGCTGCAAACTGATTTTTTGCAAGATTCATGTAAAGTAGCGAGCAAATGAGATTGTAAACTCGCACCCACAGCCTGAGCACCACCGGGCAGAACCACCAAATGTGTGCTATCGTGCCTTGTGGAAAACCACAAAAGCAGTTAGCAGGATACGTGGGGATAAAATGGGCTAAGCGAACCGGAGTATAGTACCAGCAGTATAATATTACCAGAGCCATTATTTAATTGTACGCACATATACTAAAACGCACATTTTTTTTTACATGAAAACACACAGCCCAAAACATTGCATATTTTTTTCTGAAAGCTGAGAGTCTGCAGAATAAAATGGTAGCAATTATTTGTCACACACATGTGCTTTAACGCAGGGGTAGCTATACTCCGGCCCTCCTGCTACAAATCCCACTAGGCATTGCAAGGCTCTGAAAGCCACAGGCATGACTCCCATGAGTCAGATGCATGATGGGATTTGTAGTGTCAACATAGCTGGAAGACTGAAGTTTAGCTCCCCCTGCCCTACAGTTTATAAATCAATACTTTCAGTAACAAATACTGTATATTCAAATTCATTTTAGTGCACAAAAACACAATCTGATCGCTCTTTGGTAAAATATAAAAGATGAGGTTGTGTCATATGAATAGACACCTAATATGTCATGTCTTAAAATTGGACGCCCATGTAAACTGGGAAAAATCTACAGTACCCAAAAATGTCCATAGATGATGCTTTAAAAGATTTTTCAGGTCATCAATTTATAGTAAACCATGAATGATGTTCCGATAATTATTCCTCTCATTCTGGCGCGCATGGTGCTCAATCAACATTATTATACAATTATTGCAATATTTCTGTGTGCGTGTGTGCCTGCTGTGCATGTTTGCATATACACTATATTGCCAAAAGTATTGGGACGCCTGCCTTTACACGCACATGAACTTTAATGGCATCCCATTCTTAGTCCATAGGGTGCACTATTTAGTTGGCCCACCCTTTGCAGCCATAACAGCTTCTGGGAGGGCGTCCACAAGGTTAGGAGTGTGTCTATGGGAATGTTTGACCATTCTTCCAGAAGCGCATTCGTGAGGCCAGGTACCAATATTGGATGAGAAGGCCTGGCTCGCAGTCTCCGCTCTAATTCTTCCCAAAGGTGTTCTATCGGGTTGAGGTCAGAACTCTGTGCAGGCCAGTCAAGTTCCTCCACCCCAAACTCACTCATCCATGTCTTTATGGACCTTGCTTTGTGCACTGGTGCGCAGTCATGTTGGAACAGGAAGTAGCCATCCCCAAACTGTTCCCACAAAGTTGGGAGCATGAAATTGTCCAAAATGTCTTGGTATGCTGATGCCTCAAGAGTTCCCTTCACTGGAACTAAGGGGCCTAGCCCAACCCCTGAAAAACAACCCCACACCATAATCCCCCCTCCACCAAACTTTACACTTGGCACAATGCAGTCAAGTAGCAGTTCTCCTGGCAACCGACAAACCCAGACACGTCCATCGGATTGCCAGGCAGAGAAGCGTGATTCGTCACTCCAGAGAACATGTCTCCACCTCTCGAGTCCAGTGGTGGCGTGCTTTACACCACAGCATCCGATGTTTTGCATTGCACTTGGTGATGTAAGGCTTGGGTGCAGCTGCTCGGCCATGGAAACCCATTCCATGAAGCTCTCTATGCTCTGTTGTTGTGCCAATCTGAAGGCCACATGAAGTTTGGAGTTCTGTAACTATTGACTCTCCAGACAGATGGCGACTTCTGCGCACTGTGCGCTTCAGCATGCCCTGCCCCCGCTCTGTCATTTTACGTGGCCTAGGACTTCGTGGCTAAGTTGCTATTGTTCCCAGTTCCTTCCACGTTGTTATAATACCACTAACAGTTGACCGTGGAATATTTAGTAGCAAGGAAATTTCACGGATGGACTGATTGCACAGCTGACAACCTATCACGGTACCACACTTGAATTCACTGAGCTCCTGAGAGCGACCCATTCTTTCCCAAATGTTTGTAGAAGCGTCTGCATGCCTAGGTGCTTGATTTTATACACCTGTGGCCATGGAGGTGATTGGAACACCTGAATCCAATGATTTGGAGGGGTGTCCCAATACTTTTGGCAATATAGTGTATATTTCTGAGTGCTGGGGCTTTTAGATTTTTTCCAGTTTTTATTTGACTAAAACATAGAGCCGTTATCATTCAGCCTCCATTCACACATTGCGTTTTAAATTCAGCACTTTTTGTGCATGGAAAAACGTGGGGTCGTACTGGTGCACAAAAAATACACAAATTTTAATAGACGTGCCAGAAAATCGTGCATGTACATTTTTCCGCGTTTTTGTGCGCGAGCATACGAGCGTGCAGGTGTGAACAAGCCCCATAAGAATATATTGCTTTTTGTGTTTTGCGCATTTCTATACATGCTGAAAAACGCAAATGTATGAATGGAGCCTCCGTATGTAACTTTGGAAATGGTTACAGCTATACTGCTGCAGCTCCTGTTACTTTAGATTTTGTGATCTGATCGTGACTAAAGCTGCAACATATTTGAGCACTTTATACCGCTTTCCAATATATGCTTTGCAGCACTTTTCAAGTAAAATGAATGGACAAATTCTTTATTGTAAAGCAAATAGAAAAAATCCCCCCGGAGCTTTTAGACATATTGAGTAGTATGCACTTACCTGCCAAACGAATCCCCTCCGGTGCTAAGCTCCATCCTCACCAGTGCTTCCATCTTCCTCCGGGTCTTCTGGATCTCGAGTCTTCAGGAGTTACTTCATCTCGGCAACTCTGTTCGCCGAGATGCGTGGTCCAGTGTAAAGAAAAAAGAAATTGCTGACAGCTAGAAAGAAGAGACTTGAGGTGCCCATACACCTGCCGATTATCGTACGATAATCGCGGGAAATCCCGCGATCGTACCATAATCGGCAGGTGTATGGAAGGCGTTCAACCATTTCTACTGTACGGTCGCACGTCTTTTGTCTTACGAGCAGGCTCGAAAACCCGCCGAGAATCGTACGATTGTCGGCGGGTTTGTGGCCTGCTCGTAAGACAAATGCCGCACGGGCTGGTGTGCGCAAGCTCACACTGCCCGTTCAGCATTGCAGTCACCAGAAGCCCGCCCCTCAGCAAGTACGATCTGCCTGTCCAAGATGGGCAGATCGTAAATTTTTTTAATTACCTTACAACCATCGCAAGACAAAGGTCTTGGGATGGTTGTAAGGTGTATGGCCAGCTTTACACTATCTCTTCTGCCATATGAAACCCAGCAATCACCACTTTAATTGTTTTAAGCTGACTATGCACTGGGTGAATTTCAGCCAGGTCATCAAGAACACGCTCAGTGCGGTGGCCCTGTCTGCTGGGTGAATTTCGGCCAGGTCATTAAAGGTGAACTATGAGGTGAGTGAAAATCACTCAACCTCATAGTTTGAGCCGACATGTGACAATGAAACTGTCACAAGTCGGCTCAAAAGATCAGGAAGTGAGCGAACACATACCGTCGCTCACTCACTTCTCGATCATCTCCCTGCAGAGAGAAGTGACTGTCAAGGATTCCCCCCCTCCCCGCTCCGATCCTCCAGCGCTGACTGGAGGAACGGACGGGGGAGGGGGGCAGGTATAGATAGTCACTGTGTATAGTGGGAAATCTGGTGGTGCAGGTTAATGGGGAGGGGTGGGGGGCTTCTGCTGGCACAGTGACTGTTGTAAAGCTGGAAGTCTGGGGATGGAGGTCATTCGGGCTTCTGCTGGCACGGTGACTGGTGTACTGCCTGAAATCTGGGGGTGCAGGTTATGGGGGGATTCTGTTGGCACAGTGAATGGTGAATAACTGGAAATCTGGGGTGAAGGCTATGGGGGCTTCTGCTGGCAAAGTGTCTGTTT